TCCTCCGCGGAGTTCCCTTTGAATTCGCCAACGACGAAATCCTGGAGGATCTTAAGTCCCAGGGGTTCCCAGTTGAGGCTGTGCACAAGATGCACAGCAGTAGGGACAAGAGATACTCACTTGCCCTCCTCATTTTGTCCAACGTACCGGAGGCGAAAGACATATTCCGACAGGTACACACTGTGTGCGGCCTGTCGAGAATCAAAGCCGAAGCACCCTATAGGCGCGGTTTCCGGCACAGTGCCACCGCTGCCAACTCTACAGGCATGCGGCGGCCAACTGCTCGGCCCCTCCCAGGTGCGTTAAGTGCCTAGACCCGCACAGCTCGAAAGAGTGTCCTCGGCCCCGTGATACCGAGTACCCACCCGCTTGCGTCCTTTGCGGACAGACCGGCCATACGGCCAACTTCAGAGGCTGCCCTCGCGCGCCTCGCCCCAATCTCGGCAACAAAGCTGCCAAAAAAGCTCCGCCACCGGTCAAAGAACGTACATTCCCGGCTCTCCCATCCAAAAAGCCCCTTCAGGACAACTCCCAGTCACCTCAGGACCTATATCAGCCCCCTCAGGGCCCTATAGGCCTCCTTACCTTCGCCTACTAGGGCCCCCACATCAGTCGGAACCCTCTTACGCCGATAACGTTGATAAAGTATACACTGCTATCCGCAATATCGACGTAAGAGAGATCGCAATTTTAACACGCAAACTGCGCGCTTCTCAGTCCCCTCAAGACCGTTTGCTCGCGCTTACCGAGCACCAACACCTTCTAAACTCAATATAAGTAGTCATCCCATTCGTAAGCTGCCTTAATTAGGCAGCAACTCTTCCCAGCGGCTACTCGCCGCTAGCGCCCCCCTTTCACCCAAGGGGGGTCGCGTTCGATACGGCTTAGAGATCTAGTTAGACTATTAAGCCGGTCCCTAAAAGGTGGGGTTTAGTGGGTAAAAGTCTCCACATAACCATGCAGCCGGCTGCGTGGTATGCTATGAGCATTCCCCACCTCCCTCCCCCCGCTTTCCGGAGGGTTGCCCATATTTGCTTCGGACGCAAAAAAAAATTATATTCTTTTTTTAGTGGACAGCGTTTACGTGTGAATGTTATTATTTTACATTTATTACCATTAAACGGAAGATGATTTAATACACTCCAATCCATAACCACATCGATGTCCCTTTGAAAAGTCAGACGGGTCATCTACACCTAGGCTTAACTTGAGATCATCCGCGAACAACAGACATTTGGAGGCAGTCACGCTATTCGATAAGTCATTAATGAAAATAAGAAAGAGAAAAGGCCCCATCGTACTTCCCTGGCTCACTCCAGATCTTGTGTAATAGTCACTAGACTCAAATGCACCCACTTTAACAAACTGACGTCTATCGCGTAAGTAATTTGAAAAAACTTGACGAGTGCCGGGGCAAAGCCTATCACCACCAATTTACGCAAGAAGATATCGTGGTCGACCAGGTCAAATGGTTTCTTAAAATCGAAGTACGCAGCATCCACCTGCCTACCGGCATCCAATTCAGCATATGTATAGTCAAGATGAGACACAAGATTGGTAGTTGTAGAACGGGCAGTTCGAAAACCATGTTGACTATCATGCAATAAATTCTGAGTTTGCTTATTATTTGCTGACATAAGACAATTTCAAATAATTTTGCAAAGACTGACAAAACTGCGATCGGTCTAAAAGACGAAACGTCATTTTCACCATCAGTTTTTGGAACCGGAGTAACCCTAGAAACTTTCCAAATTTCTGGATACTTAGAGTGAGTCAGTGACAAGTTAAAGAGGTACAGAAGCCGACTCTCATAAGCGGATATGCAGTCCTTTGCCAAAAAAACAGGGATACCATCAGGGCCACACGTCGACCTCGGTTCAAGCTGCCTCACTGCTTCCTTCAGCTTGGTATTGTCAACAGTATTCATGGTGATACAGGTGGAGTCATATTGACTATCTGCGGCACGTACCGCGTCAACATGGTCCAGTTCAGGAACTTCGTTCTGATATACCGAACTAAAATATTTCGCAAAAGCGTCTGCCGCAGATTGCCCAACAACTTCGACACCACTGGAAGAATAAACGTTCATACGCTGCCTGTTATTCTTCCTATCCTTAACGTACTCCCAGAATTTGGCCGGGTCGTCAATTATATTTTGTTGAGTCAGATGTAAGTGCTGCTTATATGCATTGTCAATCAAGTTTTTAACATGCCATCTATAGTATTTAAATAATTCCTTGTTGAACTCTTTACCTTCATCCTTATACCGTTTCAAATGATAATATTTTTTACGTATATTACATATAATATCAGTATTAAACCATTTTGGATATACGTACTTATAATTCGGCATGTAAGGGGATTTAGTTGGAACATATTGGCTGATACAATTATTATCCTGTATGTTCGGAAGGCGACGTTATCGATACGCCTGATGGATCGCGACGTAAAATGGCGGGAATTGCAAATTTTTTGCTAATTTGCAAATTTTGCTATATTTTCACTTTGAGACAATGTTTATGGTTAAAACTTACAGGAATTCTTGTTGAATGTATAAACTATCGAATAAGATTATTTTTAGTTGCTAGAAATAGTAATAAAATTCATAAATTTATGAATTTTATTATTATATTATTTTATATTCAACCCTTTATAGCATAGTAGTAGTAGATACTTCACTTTTTAGTCTAAAATTACTACTAATTTGAAATCTACATGTTTGTTTTGGAGAAATCTTTATGAAAATGTTTGGAAATATGTATATTTTTATGTTTTATGTGTTTCTATTCGTTACTCATACCAAAATATAAAAAAAAATAAAAAAAACGAAATTCATTTTTATCTGTATTAAATTTCGAACAATATTTCAAATATATTTTTGTGTGAATTTGAAATAAATACAACATCAAGTTATTTGAAATATGTTATAAAACAATTTTTAGTTACATTTTACACTAAAAATAAATGAGATTTGGAAAAATAACACATTTTTGACCCAACCGCTAAAATGGGCCTTCTCAATTTCGAAGTACTTTTGGCTCTTACTTTTCACCTTTTATGCCACAAATTATAAATCTACGTGTTTGTTATATTACAAGGAATACACAAAAGTATAAAACTCACATTTTTATTTCAAAAACACACAGAAAAACGGAGAAATCAATAAGCAGTATCAGCAATAGCTCACACATAACCACGCCCTACTTGTGTACGAAGCCATTACGTCAGAATGATTTTTATGTTTACTTTTAGTTCGAAATTGACAGATTATAGTACCAAATTAAAGAGTATGTCTTTGTCTATGTCTGTTTTATACATTTCAGTATAACTTTTAATGAAAAACCTTTTTTTGTCGGGTTCGCCCTCATAAATTCTTAGTAGGCATATGTGTACCATTACCGAGCGGGCCTCGCGCGTTGTGTTAGTCACATGTGTACCACTGTTGAGCGTACGGGTCTCTTTACCTTCAGCCTTATACCGTTTCAAATGATAATATTTTTTACGTATATTACATATAATATCAGCATTAAACCATTTTGGATATAAGTACTTATAATTCGGCACTTAAGGGGATTTAGTTGTAACATATTGACTGATATAATTATAACGACGGTGATAGAATAACGCAACTGCGTCGTCAATGTCTGCAATTACAAACCTATCCGACCAATCTATACTTTTAATGCCATGTATAGGCCCAGAAAGTCTGCTTTACGCCAATTCGAGTTTGGAGCAACTCCCGGGCGCTGCGCCGGCGGTGAAGAGGACGGTGACTGGACCTGTGCGTCGCACTGAAACCCAAGCGTCACCTCCAGCAGGGGGTGATACTTATCAATTATTACTAAGGGTTCTGAACCCTCGGACACTAAGACCAGCTCCGGGTTAAAATTGCTCAACACGAGATCTAACACGCCATCACATTTGTTATACACAATATTAAGTTGCCCACAATAGTCCACAATAGTCACAAAATGAATTAAAATTATCCTTAACATTAACACTACAAGAATTCAAATTAAAATCTCCTATTATTAGGAAATTGAGAGAGTAATATGCAATGATAGCATTTTCAACGCACGTCAATACGTTGAGATATAGATTATCACTACATTTAGGAGGCAAATAAACGACACAACATAAAAACTTTCCAACACTTTTTCCACCAATAATGGCGAAAAGCAGTTCCATATCAGACGTATAGGCATCTACATTAGTAACTTGTTGCACCGTATTGCAGTTTCGTATAGCAACGAGCACTCCTCCCCACCCGACGTCCCTGTGCGGTCTTTACGTACGACTAAATACTCCGAAGTAAATAATTCGCCATCAAATACGAAACTGTTCAAAAAGGTTTCAGTCAAGGCTATAACATTAAAGTTGCATTGAGTCACATTATTCCTAAAAGTATCCGATTTTGTACGTAGACCTGTAACGTTTTGATAACAGAAATATAGGTTACGCACTTTCTTTCTTGGCACGAAAGTTCTGCCGCCACGGTTTTGTACAGATGCCTTCAGCCCAATTATTTGGTGACATAACACTCTCGCTAATCCTCGACGGGACTCCCAGCTTGAACGATGAGTAACGTCCCCTTGCTTTCAGTTCTTCCACTGTGCAATCATTAATCCTCGATGAAGAATCAAAACGCAAATGCGTTGTCACCACTGAGGACTAAGATCGTATGCTTCGCTTCCAGTAAAAAAGGTTCTCCGGATCTCTTCCCTCACCACATAAGACACAGCAGTATTAAGCTATTATTTTACGCTGGTATTCTGTGAGAGCGTGGTCCTTCTCCGGTCGAACCAACCCTTTCGTGCTACAACCATAATAGATGCAGCGTGGCTCTACCACGTATAAAGTGTTATTATTATAAGCGAATCCGTTAGTATATTTTATTTATTATCAAACGAGGAAAATGGGCTATTTATTTAATTATAAACTACAAGGAAAATTAATAGTTGCTTCAATTCATTGCGCTCACTTTTGTTCTACTCCGCGACATGGCTAGTAAATCGTTACTGTATTCGTTTATTTTCATTTTAAAATTGCGATTATGTTGGTTGCAAACAGGTAAGTCATATTCTGCGATCGTTTTATTATTAATAATTTTCCAATTTCGTTAGCTCGTAAACTATCTATGTGTCACTTCCAGTTGAAGAATTACTGCCGTCACCGGTTTCGGTATTTTAGAACTAACATAAAAAGCGATATTTTGATTGTGCTATCAACCTCTCACGGCTCCCAACGAAAACGATATGGATTCTCTTGCACCGCTAACATAGGTTATTAATATTTTTCAATAAAAGTGTACGATTTTAATGTTAGTACAATAGTACAAATTAAAATTGATTGATACCTTTTTCATACAAAATTTAAACCACTACTTAAGTTTATTAATATTAATGTCAGTAAGCCATAAATATTAACGATATAAAATCTAAATGAGAATAAATGTTGCCTAATGAAGAAATCTGAATAATCATCCTGCGACCAGACTTGAAGTTTAAGTTTTTTGAAGTGAAAACTTCTTTAGCAGCGTTGTACGCATTTTTGTAATGGGTAAAAATTTTTAAACTCGCGTCAGGACACGTGACCCTAATCGAAAATTCGTAAGACGGATGGAGAGAGAGAGACGGCCGGCGCGGCGTAGGAGAGGAAGTATCCCCCTCTCTTTCTACGGTGCGGCGAAAATGTATACCTGCGCCTGCTGTTTCGTTTAGGCGGCACAGTGCGCTTGCGCGAATGTTCGTGTGTGATTATTAAAGCAGCAGATAATTAAAGCAATTCGTGCAAAATTATTCCCTAATAACTACAAAATATCAAAAATGCACAACGTTAATATTCAAGTTTTCACTTCTGCTGTCACTCCCGGAGTGCAACCCGTAGTTTTTTTAATAAATCGATTTTATAACATTTTTACTATACGACAAAGAACATTGCTATAAAAAAGACTGTGCTATAAAAAAGATTTAAGAAAATATTAATGCCTATATATACGTCCCACAGCTAGGCACAGGCCTTCCCTCATTTCCGAGAGGGTTTTAGGGCAAGGAATTGTCCGCCGCGCTGCCCCAATGCGTGTTGGCGAACTTCACATGTCTTCAAAATACTTTTTTCTTATTCCTCAGGTTTCCTCACGATGTTTTCCTTCACCGCCGAGCACGTGGTAAATCAGCACTTAAAATTTCAATTAACAATTTCATTGTTGACGGCGGGGATCGAACTCGGGTTACTCGCGTTCTGTTATATTTACAGCGAGTGTTAACCGTCCAAGCTACCACGGCTTCTTTAAGCCATAACAACTTTAAGCCTGCTCTCTAATAAAAAACAGCCTCGCAATATGATCGTTCATCACTCTCGCGGTGATCAGTCGATGGTATGTCTTTCCTAGTCTAGTGGCGTAGGGAGTAGTAGAGCTGGGATTAGTGGTGACGGGATTGGTGCACGCAAGTGTGTGAGGGTGGGAGGTGCTCTTCATACTTAATTCTTACCAACTTTAGTATAAAGGATTTCCCTGATTCGCCTGATTCTATTAATTATTATATCAAAATTCATTTTTGGGCAAAATACATTTGGTTAAATGTACATGGTATTAGCGTTATAGAGCCACGTTGCAGCTATATTATAGTTGTAGCACGAACCGGTCGGCTCAACGGGGGCAGGACCACGCTCTCACAGTACCAGCGTAATGCTGCTGTGTTTCGTAAGCTAAGTGTAGAGATCTGGAGACCTTTTTTACTGGAATCGAGGCATTCAATCTTAGTCCTCACGGGTGACACCGCATTGGCATTTTGATTCTAAATTGGTGATAGGTGTGGATGTATATGGGCCGCAGCATCCACTTACCATCAGGTAGACTGTGTGCTCGTTTGTCACCCAATGCTATAAAAAAACATGAAATAACTATATTACCATTAATTAAATTAATTTAAGGTAATTATTTTCGAAAGAAAATTCTCAAAAACGTAGAATAGAGAAATATGGTTTTATGAGCTTGAGATATTTTTTATAATATTTAAGTTGCAAGAGTACTCTGGATTTCGAGTTATATGTGGTATTTTAATTAATGTAAAATAATTTTTCAGTTAGGTAGGAGTGATTGATGGTTTTTATGACCGTCCGTCCGTCCGTGGTTATAATCGGAGAAGCTAGGTGCTAGAAAGCTGTAAATCTGCATGATTATAGATTTTAATCACGCTTTCAAAGCTGTGAATAAAAATCAAAACTAAAAGTTTAGAAAAATCCCTTGACGTCTAAAAAGGGTTGATTTGTAGTGTGGTCTGTCATAATAGACAATTAAAAATAACTTTCTTTAGTCCTTCCTACATTTGTGTACCTATTGGTTCATTGTAGCGATAGACATATCAATAATATTTAATATATGGGTGCGTTTGGCAGAAAAAAGCGCTAGCAAGCGCTTGTAAGCAAAATGGCGATCGTAAGCGGTAAGCGCTGTCAAATCGTAAGTAGCTATTTTCCTCCAGGACACGATGTTAGTTTTAACCGGGGAATCTATACTAATTTAAATATATGTTTGTAAAGTATTCATATTAAAAACTTACCAATCATGAGTTTTTAATAGCATGTATATGTTTATTCATGTCATTATATTACTTAAAACTAATATTGCACAAAACAACTTATAAACTCTACTTCAAAACAAACAAATTAAATAAGCAAAATGGCGGATTGTGTCAGCGCTACTGAAGTAGCAATCGTGTCCTGGCCGAAAACTATTTTAGCGCTTATAAGCGCTTGCTAGCGCTTTTTTCTGCCAAACGCACCCAATGTATTACACGTATTCACCTACCTACTAACTACCCAAAAAATCCGTCGAAACTGACGACACTGATACCATAACAACTATCTAAGTATAAATGGGGACATTCCTTTACCCAGAAAATGTTAACTGCAGTACCCCCTAGCAAGTTAAAACCATAACAATCATCGTAGAACCATCGCCAATTAATCACTAACCCCTTACAAGAAACGTTATCTAAATCGGTCAAACCATATAAGAGATTAATTGATGAATTCGATTGCACAAATTTGAATATTGCCATGCCCCCTGGTGAGTTATATCCATAAAATCTACTTAAGAACCATTTCCAATGAATTACAAAACCTCTACAGTAAACCCATAAACTGTTTCTAAATCAGTCAAACTGTTTTGAAGATAAATGGGAACGTTCGTTTGAACAAATATGTTTATTGCGGCGCCCCCTGGCGATTTTAAACCATAAAATCTATTTAGGAATCATTTCTGATGAATTATAAACCCTTTAGAGAAATTGTTTCAAAATCGGTCAAACGGTTATGGATATAAATGGGAACATTCGTTCAACCTTTTCCGTTCCAAGGAAAAAACATTTTTATTTTGGATACTTCTATACAGAGAAATAGTGTCATATAACAGTGAGGTGTTGTTAGATATGTCTTTCTAAAATATTGGGGTATAAATTTGGGGTATATTGAGTAACAGTTTTTCAATTCAGGTGTCCCTTTGCGAATTATACTTTTTATTAAATTATACTTTTTATTAGAGACATGTGTCCCCCTTCCTACCAATTAAACCGTCGTTTTAGGGTTGTTAAAAGTATGCGTGATGGTATTATAAAAATTGAAGTTAAAATAAAAACTAACACAGCTAAATAAAATTAACAAATCAACTAGTAATAGTCGACCAACTTATAAAATGCACTTCGATTAGTAAGCATTTCGATATAATTCCATAGAAAATGACCGAATACTAGCTGCATTATAATTTTGTTATTGTGAACAAAAAACTTTTTTACAAAATGTTATATTGTGTTACTATAACTTTACGTTATCTTTTGCGAATTAGGCGTACATGATCGATCGGTAAGAGACCGATTTTAACATACCACTTTCGCTTATTTTTAGTTAGTAGTTATTGCAGGCCTACAGTTTCATTGGTGGTAGGTTCTTCTTATTTTAAGCGTGGAACCCTCAAGATTACACAGCGGTGGTTCAGAAGAAGGTTTGTTGCGGTTATGTATATTTTAGGGTTGCACCGCCGGGAAATAATATATGGATAGGGAATCATATAACCATTTTTATAAGGACTTGGCGTATTGTATTAATGTAGATTGTATTATTTTTAAAATCGCTTTTATTAATCATTTTTGTATACCACTCTCCAAAATTCTGCTTGGAAAATAAGTCCTTCGATTACCATCGTCTTATCTAAGCACATCGTTCGTTGCTATAGCTGTCAAACTGACTTAATATGATCATATTAAGTCAGTTTGACAGCTTATATCAAGAATGTTCCTTTTAAGTTTACGTATTCTGACGAGAAACTATTAAACAGTTTACTGTCCTTTGTTGCTCCTGGTTCGATACGTACTTGGCTGGTTCTATTTATAGACACAAGTGTCACAAACGAGCAGTCACTCCACCCAATTTTAATGACTGCAATGGCCCATTGCCGCCTTGGTCTCTTTTCTATTTAGAAATACAATGCAGATGCGTTGCAACCTTAAAGCAAGTAAAAACCTTCACCTGATCTCAACATACTAGGCACAGCACCAATATGCTGGTATTCTATGAGAACCTAGTCCTTCCGTCGAGTCGACTCATTCATGCTGCAGCAGGCTTCTACCATATCGTGTAAAACTGTTGAGGATGTACTCTTAATCATAATTACTGTCAGAAATCATCAACGGCACAGAATCAGAATTATGTACGATTGTATAATTCTAGAATTTTAACGTTTTACATTTGTTGTATAAATAAATAATAAAAATATTTTGTAATCTATATAATATTTTATTAATATTTTAAAATATATTAATATTTTATTTTAGATTACAAAATATTTTCATAATAACATAACGTTGTAGCGCAGTTATTGTCGCTGGCAAACGATTCCCAAAAATATAGTTACAAAGTCGCGCTACAAATTAGCGTGGCGACACATAGTATGCACTTACTAATATTCACATTGCTAATTACAAAGATTAAAAAAACTTAAGAGGTACGATAAAGAAAATTTATAAGTGTTAAGGTACAATATATTTCGGAATCTGTAAATTGTCACAAGCGCCATTATCTATGCAAATCCAAAAATCAATGCAAGTGCACAATCAAGATTGCTCACTGTAAGGTTGAGGTTGAGGCCTGCCAGCATTTTTATATCAATGACCATTAATTCCCTATTTAAAAACGTGGAATGTGTTAAAAATGTTTTCTTTTTACAGGTGGAATTTCAACTACCATACCATTAAATAAAGAGATCTTAAAAGATGTAAGTGCTTTAGCAAAATTAAATTTACGAATCTTTCATAGAAAGTACTATTATGGTTTCTTTTCCAATAGGTTACGACTACTGACGGAGATACGTGTACAAGTAAACTTCGTGAGTTTATACTTTTCTTTATTTAATATATCTTATTTATTACTTTTTTGAACTGTAAATATTTTCATAGTTTGTAACAATATTTTTTACAGATACGTGCTCACTAAAAATGGTATGTAATAATTTCAGATACTAAACTTTTTTTTTAAATTACATCGCTAATTACATATTATTTTATTTTTAAACTCAGACAACAAAATATTTAAAAGGCTTGGCAGGGCCTCCCGGAGAAAAAGGAGACAGAGGTATAGATGTACGTACGTAATTTTCTGATTTTTTTATCGAATTGCTCATAGGCATATTTTGTCATAGTTGCCACGCTTGGTAGGTGGATTGCCAAACACAGTTTTTTTTTTAATTATTTTGGGACATGCTTTTTCCCATCAACGATTTCTGCCAAAAACGATTACCAGATGATATCGAAAAGGTATCAAATGCTTTGCTTAATCAGTTAATAATTAGTAGCCCAAGCTACCGCGGTTAATTTAATCAGCTTATAGATTATTATAAATAAACAGATTCCCTATCCGCAAAATAGACACAACAGGACTCATAGGACAGGGAGAGGGTTAAAAGTAACGCTAGTACGTAATATAATACGTCCGTTTTTTTACCAAAACAGAACACATTATAATTGTTTCAATTTATCAGGGTCCAAGAGGAGATACAGGATCACCAGGTTTACAAGGAATTCGTGGATTACCGGGCGTTGTGATGAGTGATAGGTCTGTCTGGCACATGGAAATGCTTGGTTTGGTAGATAATGATGATGAATATATTGAATTAGTTGAAGAATTATCGCCTGTTAATGATCTGTGTAAAGATAAAAGAGATAAAGAAAAAGTCATTATAAATGGTACGTTTCAGTTTATTTCACGAATGACAGCACAGTGTCACTATACGTTGGAATTTTGATTTGATTATAAATTAGTGAGGGTTAAAGCAAAAGATAGAAAAATTATTTAAAACAAAGTCATAATCCACCTGATGGTATGTGGCTATTTCATCTCACGGAAACCTGCTCCAACTTTAAAAAAAAACTACATATGCGTCGTCAACTCTGAAGATTAAGATGGACTGCCTCACAGCTTAACATTATAATGGCTTTCTAAATCCTCATGATCAGAACACACTGTAGTTTAAGCATCCTTGCTTGGCAGTAGAAATAGGTAAGAGGGTAGTACCGAAGCAAATAGACTTTTAACCACAAAAGGAGTCCTACCACCTAAAGAAAATGACAGCTCGATATCACAGTGGATAAGTATTTGGCTGCGGTGCCGCGGACCGTGAGTCCACTCGGAACAGGTACTGGTGTAGTCTAAAACCATTAAAATAAAACAAAAATCACAAAAAATGTTGTTTCCGTTGCATACAGATAATTAATTTACTAATCGACTGTAAATGCAAAATTTTCTCGATCAGTATGATATTAAAGACCAATAAGAAGTCAAAAATTTATTCAAAATGGGCTTTATTCCTAACAGTCAAGAGAACTAAGCTATCGCTTTAACGTACGCTAGTGCGGAAAACCTTGTGAAAAGAAGTGTTAAGAAAGTTACAAGTAGACTTTTTCCAATAGTTATATTTCACTCTTGTACAATATAAATACACAAGTCTAAAAGTGCGTTAAATGAAGTCATAATATCTATATATTGGTAAATTTTGAAATAATTTATTAAATTAAAAATTATTCAATTCGTAAGACACTTTCTTCATAAAAATGCTTTTTACATGCATCTTCAATCTACAATATTAAAGTTGTGGATATCATTCTTTTTGAATACGGTAAGTTTGGAAATAGTTTATTTTCATACATTCATTCATTATAGTCTATCAAATTTCCACTGCTGAATTTAGGCCTCCCCTATAGATTGCCTATTCGATATCCCCAATATTTGCTATAGTTGTCACGCTTGGAGTTGTTTAAAATGAACACCAATAATATAATTACAAGAATGTTTTCATTTATCCCTGCTTATGATTTTATTTTTTGTTACAGGTTCAAAGTGGAAGAAAGAACTCCTACCATTTGAAGTTACTTGTGACGCGTCAGGTTGGTCTTGTCTTGTGAGCGCAAGAAAAACTACAGAATTTAATTATGCCTCGGAAATGGAGCCATTCTGGTTAAGCAAATTAAACTTTAGTAGCATCGATTTTTATGGGGTGAGTATCAAAAGAATCATGAAACAATACTTTTATTCACCAAGTCGTAGACTATCTGGGTAAGCACCACCTTCCCAACTAAAGTTGAGAAAAGAACTGGTTGTAAACAAACCGACAATTTTTATAAAGATTGATATGTATAATTTCATTCCATATAGGTTCGCGTATTTGATTTCATAATCTTCTTTCATCGTTACCAGCCCGTGAAAGTTTAGTGCTCAATCTGGTCGTCTCCAATTAAAGGGAGGATTTGCCTCAATTTTTACGCTTGGCAGTCGGCTTGAGGATTGCAATGCCAGACGTCTTGCCGGTGCGTGTTGTGTGACGGTGTGTTTCTCATACCTAAAACTCAAGCGGCTGTCACTCAGGACACTTCAATACAATATCGCCATCTGTTTATTTAGCCTGATGCAATGCTATACGCCCCGCCAAACGCCTTATTTAAAGAGCATCATGAAATAGCAGCTTGAGCTATGAGTAACGATGAAAGAGCAAGTCTTATTCGATAATATTTCGATGATATCACGGACGTCAGTCTGAACGAGACTGAAAGCAGGTAGAATACTGATACAAGTTGTACTTGAAGTCCTTCAGAAGCTTTCAATTCCGTTCTCCATGGTGGCAAATGCTGCGGTCTTGTTCTTAAAGAAAAGCGACAACGTACTGGAACGATTTCACTTCTGAGCCTCGTTAACAGGCTGCGAATCATCTCGCATGCGTCTGCATGATGAATGCCTTTCAATCTTTTGAATGGACCTATTTCACCTCTTTCATAGACCACATATACTTGGCAAATTGTAAATAAGACCGATGAGTACAATCGGACACTTTACTTTGCATACGTGGGCGATGCTATAATCCCTTTAGCGGTGCCTAGTTGATTGTCGGTATACCAAAACACTAAAGTATTTGAACAGTAGGACTACAATGGTTATCCGGGTACAGAACCAGAGTTCAAAACCAATCCAGCAGAGAGGTATAAAAACAGGGTAATGTTTTATACCCAAAACTCTTCATTTCCATATTGGAAGACGTTTTCAAGCAACTGGACGGGAAAACAATGGTCATTAGATCACTCACCTTCGATTTGCCGACGATATAGTTCTTAAGGTGGGATCCCTGGAGCACCCAAGCACTGTGCTCAATGACCTCAATAGTGTCTCCTAACAGAGAGGTCTTAAGATGAACGTGAACAAAACAAAGGTCACGTGTAACGTCCATGCCACACCTATGCCGGTTTTGTTGGGAGCACTACGCTCAAAGTTTTTGACGAGTACGACCTGGTACAATAGTTCAACTAGATAAGTACAACATCGACCGAGAGGTGAATTGCTGAATTTAATAGAATATAATAGAATAAAATAAAGTAATTTTTATTCAATATAGATCACATGTAATTCATATTGAGAGATATTTTTTACTTTAGAAAAAACCTCTGTCCTAGGAAGTACCAGCATGAAAACTAAAGGACTTTTTTAAATTAAATTTACAATACATGATTACAAACTATTTAGAAAATTAATTTGAGGAACGCGACCACCTCATTCCTATTTTTATTATTATATATGAGTGTATGGTTATTATCAACTTATCAACCGTGTATTCATTTATATTATTATAACCTTTTTTTATACATTTTGGTTTCTCCACGGCTAGGCCGTGTTCTTGAGATGAGCACACATCTTCTTGTCAGGTATACATCAAATTTTTAATGATAATATAAAAGATATATAACGTAAAACACTCACGCCTGTCACCCAGAGGGGTAGGCAGAGACTACAGACTTCCATTTGGCACGATCCTGACACACCTCTCTTGCCTCCTTCACATCCATACACCTACGCATACATGCTCGTCAGTTAAGGGTACTCCTAATTTGGCCCGTTTTCAATAAATCGCCAATTTGGTCGATAAATTTTCGCCTAGGACGTCCCTTTCCGACTCTGCCATTCACTTCTGCACCATAAATTTTCTTTGTCACTCTTTCCTCATTCATTCTTTCCACATGACCAAACCACCGAAGCATTCCTTTCTTAATCCTGGTCGCAACATCATCTTGCAAACCACACTCTTCTCTTATTACACAATTTCTTACCCTGTCATTCAGATTCAGTCCTAACATACTCCTTAACGACCGCATTTCTACTGCGTTTATTCTACTCTCGTTAAAGTAGGGACCAACACAGCATTGTGAATTGCCATACGTGCCTTTTTCGACACATTTTGACTCTTCACAATAGAGTGCAAGGCCCCATTTGCTCTATTTCCCGCATTCACTCGTCGTTCTATATCCTTATCATATCTCCCATCCCTGCTAAATACGCAGCCCAAATATACAAACTCATCTACTTGCTCGATCAACTCCCCTTCTATTCTTATTTTACAAATCGTACTTTACTACTTTCTTCTCTTTCAAAAACAATAACCTTCGTCTTACTTGCGTTCACTTTCATACTCCTTTCTTTTAATGATCCGTTCATTAATGTAACCATCATTTGCAACTCGGCCGCCGACGACGCAAGAATAACTTGATCATCGGCGTACAAAAGGCATTTGACGGTTAACTCACCCATTCTTAATCCGCATTCTTCAACTTTCAAATTTTGCAAACAACTGTCCATAAATAGGTTAAACAGCCACGGGGAAGCCACACAGCCCCGTCTGACACCTTTATGGATGTCAAACTAGTCCGAGTAGACCCCGTTGATCCTAACACAAGCATTAGAGTCCCTATAAAGAGAATCCAATGCCTGTATCAAGCCAGCGCTCAACCCAAATGAGTTCAGTGTTTGTCATAGCAAATCCCTATCCACTCTGTCATAGGCCTTTTCCAAGTCCATGAACGCACAAAAAACCTTTTGGTTTTTGGCCAGAAACTTCTCCGCGATCATACGCATGGAAAAGACTTGATCTGTACATCCCATTCCCTTTCTAAATCCCGCTTGCACATCCCAAATTTTTCCATCAGTTTCTTTCATGACCCTTTCATTCAGTACCTTAGCATACAGTTTTCCCACAATGCTAAGAAGGCTGATGCCACGGTAGTTTTTACAGTCCTGCTGCGACCCTTCTTCCTTTATATACTGGGACTATCACGGCTTTGCACCAGTCTACCGGTACCCGCTTCAGTTCCCAGCATAAATTAAACAAGGTGTGCAGCAGGTCTGCCACCAATTCCTCTCCAGCCCTTAGCATTTCGAGTGAAACTCTATAATATCCGGCAGCCTTACCTGCTTTCATGCTTTTCATAAAAGATATATAAATATAGAATAACATAAATAAAGTCCAAAAAAAGCTTGTACAACCAGTGCGTATTGCCAGTGATTTTAGATTTGCGTCGTGGTCTTTTCTTGCTAGCCTTAGAGCTATGGAGAGGGCTATGCTCGTAGTTTTCTGCGTGAAAATATCCGTAGTAGAACCAGGTTACCAGGCCGAAGACGGGAGGGACTGTTAAAGTTGTGAAACGATCTACTATCTTTAATCTATTTACGAAATGTGATGAACATGACAAATTGTGCACCCTTTGGGAGAGATCTATGTCCAGAAATAGACTGTTCAAAGACTGAAGAGGTGGAGGAGTAAAGTAATAATTTATTATTTTTAGCTAACGACACATCAGCTTTATTATTTACAAGAGCGGGCATCTTCAGCTAAGATGACTATTAGATATCATTGTAAAAATTCAGTCGTACTGCCAGAAAATAAAAATAATTCTTTACGTCTTTTGTTGTGGAACGATGTTTCAGTAGGCCTCGACTCTGACGAAGAAACACCATTTAAGTACACTGTGTCAAATAATAATTGTAAGGTAAGTCAATTAATGCTCTTTACCTTCACTTAGGTGAATTATTGATTGGGTGATTAGGTGAATTATGATGATATTGCTTTAAACAAAGGTAATTACTAATGCGTAGTTACGAAAAATATGAACAAGTATGAATATTTTTTTAAAATAATAATTATATAATTAATAAAATTAAATAATTAATAAATTGACGGAGAGTAACAAATACTGCCCGAAATGACAATACTGTAATTGACTGTCCGTCGTAGATTGTAGATGTATATGTCTATGGGCCACAGCAACCACTTATCATCAGATGGACTGTGTGCTCGCTAGTCACCCTTTCCCTATAAAAAAAAAAAAAACAAAAAATGGACTATAGTGCTTTTCTATAACTTTGATGGATCTGGTATTCAAAAATTAACACAAATAAAACAATCTATTTTTATTCTTGTTAGTGTCGTAATTTTTTTAATAAAAAACGTTACTCCCACACTAAGATTTTCTCCTGTATCGTGAAGGCAGTTTACATAAATAAATTGCACAAGGACAAATATCCAGACCCGGAAAAATTACTTATAGGTCATACGAATACTTGCTCCGTGCGGGATTCGAACCCGCGGCCCTTAGCGCTGTAACTCATTGCTAAGCTACTGCGCCACGGAGCCGTCAAATATCACGTAAGAGAAATTTCTTTGTAAGTCTTTTGAATACTAATATGAACAAGTATGAATAAAAAATCTTACATATTTGTAAAATTGACGGAGAGCAACAAGTACTGCCCAAGATGACAATATTGTAATTGATATTCGATCGAAGCTTGTGATTAAGCTTAACCCTAAACTTTAGACAAACACTAACTGTAAACTGTTTATTCTACTATGTAACGAAATTAAATCTGTATCATATCTTTTACAGGAACAGGATGACTATGAATCAAAATGGCTGTACACTGATATAACAATAGTCAGTTCTATTGGTCGTCGCTTACCCGTTATCGATTTTCTAGTTAGAGACGTTCGAAACGAAAATCAGTTTCTATCTTTAGAAGTTATAGATTTATGTTTTCGTTAAAAATTCATGTTAATTGTTGTAGTAATATATAGTATTAACGTTTAAATACCTATTTATACTACTAACTTTCTCGATGTAATAAGTAAAGTAAATAAATATAAAAAGCAACAATTTAATATAATGTTTTTGATTTTGCTAAGAAGTTTTTAATATTCGTCAATTGGCATAATTTTACATATTGTTTCAATAAAAAAGTTTCGGTTGTCAGCCTGCTAGCCAAGCGTGACAATATGGTAAAACACCCTCTAATAAGGCAATTAGTGAGAGCGGCCTATGTTCAGAAGTGGAATTATAATAAGCTGTAATAAATGATGGTAAATTAAATGATTATACACACACACACATATATATATATATATGTGTGTGTGTGTGTGTGTTAGCTCAAGCTTAAGTTTGATATGTAAAACAAAGTTAAGCATGAGTGCATGTAGTAAATTATACCAAAATATTTGTTACGAATCTAATAAAATTACATAAAATATAAATTTTATTTCCTTTGCCTTCCTACCCTTCTTCAGTTTCAAATTCAAAGAAATTCTTGCTAAACTAATTTTTTGTAAGTCATTTAAATAAAGCAAGCCAAGCGACAAGCCTGAGCGTCGTTTGTACTGAACGTGACCCCTTTTCTCATTTATAAAACATAAAACTATTTATGTTTGATATAACTTTTAACATAGACAGACACCTTTATTTTAACACACCTGAAATGTTTTCTAAGTCTAAAAATTTTTCCCTAAAGAATTCTTTATACAGAGCACCTTAAAATTACTATAATGTAGCTACTACATCATCATAGTTTCAACATCTTTAAACCTCTCAGATACTTTTTTTTCTAAATTACAATTATTCTATATAGACAGTAATTTTTCGATAATCGATATACACAAAAAGTAACTCAGAAAACAGGAGTCAAGAATTAAAGTCTCGACTTCTGAATGTGAACTTATTTTATTCCTTTTAGTTCTTTGAAGACGGCTTTAACTTGTAAACATAATTTAATTTTTTTACTCTTTTGATCGAAATCGTAATCTTAGTATGTCTAAATATTGGTATTAAAAACTTTATCCAATAATTTTCGACCATTAGGGGTTAAAGTTTTTCTCCAAATTTATATGAGACCACACCTGAACCATAGAATAAATAATAATACTACCAACAGAAGTTGCACTCCTTTATGTTGTCTGCTTGCCGACTTTTTATAGCCTATATAATTATTATTCAATAGATAAGCAGCGCACGTAATCTCAATAAAACTAGCGCTACGCACAAGTAACCATATTGCTTTACATCTTTTCCGCTTCCTACGTTACGGCGGTCTTTCCGTGGTTACTAAGGAATGTCAATAATGAGTAAAAAAACACATTGCGAAATGTTAATTAAGCTACTTAGGTGAAATACCTATTCTGACCATGATAAATTGACCATATTTTCGCACCTATTTGAGTTCTGCGATGCCTAACGCATGCAACTTGCAAGGCCATTCATTGGGAATCGCGATGCTTGGCTTGGAAGAAATAGGTAGATAGTGTAAACAACAAATAACCCCGAAAACCAACTGCTAACAGAAATGTAATCGTATTCTACTTAGCTAAAAATTAAACAAAAGTTTTAATTTCAGTATTTTGTGTAATTATTACCTAAAATATATTAATAACAATATGTATGTAAAAAGATGCTTGGATAGTAAAGTAAATTTCAACTAAGTTTTGTAATAAAGTACGCAGGTATTACTTCAGTAGATAAATTATTACATAATTATTTAATAAAATTATTATTATTCTATGTTATAAGTACCTATCAAACAAAAAAATATAATGTAAATTCACATTTCAAAACTTCCTCCTAAAATCCACGTAACTTATAGAATGATATATATGAAACCTTTTGTTGGTAATTTAACATCTATCCACGCAACAGTTATAGTAGAAATGACTTTTTGCCATTATAATTGATCAAATAGGTAGTGTACGTTAATTTTTAAATTACATTTAAACTTTTTCAATAATTTTATCCTAAAATTAAAATATACTAAACACTAAACACACATCTCGGGAAAACGTCTCCGAGTACCGGGACAAACTTGTGACTAAAGTCGAGTCTTTGCTGAACAGAGTCTCGGATTGGGGTCGACTAAATCTAGTCCAGTTTAACACCCAGAAGACACAAGTTTGCGTGTTAACCGCTAAAAATAAGTCCTCTGTCGATTCTCCTCTGTTTCAAGGCACTCCCCTTGTTGCCTCAGCCAGTATCGGAATCCTCGGCGTCGACATATCGAGTGACGTGCAGTTTCGTAGTCACTTGGAAGAGAAGGCCAAATTGGCCTCCAAAAATCTTGGCGGGACAGTATTTCATGCCGGCACACCACCTGCAATTTTACAAGGCGCAGGTTCGGCCAAACATGGAATACTGTTCCCATCTCTGGGCTGGGGCTCCCCAGTACCAGCTCCTTCCACTTGACCGCATCCAGTGCAGAGCGGCTCGAATCGTCGACGACCGAGTGCTTTCCGATCGGCTCGATTCACTGGCGCTTCGAAGAGATGTTGCATCCCTTTGCATGTTCTTTCGTATATACCATGGGGAGTGCTCTGAGGAATTGTTCGGATTAATCCCAGCCGCCAAATTTCGTAAACGTACTACGCGGCAAACGTCTCGATACCATCCACACCATCTGGATGCTTGGCGGTCCACCACTGTACGTTTCAAAAGGAGTTTTCTTCCGCGTACAACCTCTGGGTACCTTAACGCTGTTTACGTAAATATAGTGTTTTGTAAATATTAGTTGAGATGGTCTTTGTTTTTTTTTATTGAAGAGGGGACAAACGAGCATGCGGCTCACCTGATGTTAAGTGACTAACCGCCGCCCATGATCAACGGCAACACCAGGGGAATTGCAGGTGCGTTGCCGGCCCTTTAGAAAGGAGTAAGCTCTTTTCTTGAGGGTCCCCAGGTCGTATCGGTCCGGAAAAATTGCCAGTGGTAAACTATTCCACAGAGAGACAAAATATGTTTACACGAAAAAGAAATTGGAGACACAATTTAAAGTAGTGTAAACGTTTTTAAATAAATAAGGATATATGCATATAATTGATAGGTGGGTCCATGAGTCACTATCCATTTACCATCAGATGGATTGCATGCCCGTTTATCACGATTACTATAAAATATTGAAACCATTCGATATTACTCGCAGCGCTCGGGAATTTACGACACATATTATTCTCATCACGTGTACCTAAAACTTGAAAACAAGTGTGTACAACCAGTGCGTGTACAACCAATGATAATATATGAAAATGAGCGTAGTCCTCCACTACTAGCCATATTGAGGAAGCTCAGCCGCTCAACGAGGTAAGGAGAGCGCTATGCCTGGAGTTTCCTGACCTGATCAGGTAAGACATCCAGGAAGTCGACGGATGCAGTTGGCTTAGGACTGTGCCTTGTGACATTTCTTCAGGGACGTGTATGTTTAGCGCTCTGTAATAATGATGATGATGATGATGACACAGTATCTATTAATTTACGGCGCTTAAATTACACAGAGGTAGCGTGGCGGACACTTCCTTGTCCTAAAACCTTCTCAGAAATGAGAGGAGGCCTGTGCCCAGCCCATCCTAAAACGTTCTCTTATTTTTTATTTTACAGTAAATCATACCATGGTAATCACATCCGTTTGGAGCTCTACAAGAGCCCTAATTTCTTCTACCTTGGCCAAAAATTGACTAAGATTTCACGAAAATCTGTGAATGTACATCTTTGATTAGCTACTCCAGTTCCAGAAAACTGCTTAAAAAAAGTTTTAATGGAGTTCGATTAACGAAACATTAATGTACAAAATGAGCACTTTTATATAATCCTATTAGTGTATAGTTTGTGGCAATGGTTTTTAAAGTATTTAAAAAAAATTGTGATAAAACGTTACCTCAACATTAGGATTTTCTCCTGTATTGTAGGGGCAGTTTACAAATATAAATATCACAAGGATAAACATCCAGAACCGAAACAATTATTTGTAGGCCATACAAATACTTGTTCCGTGCGGAATTCGAACCCGCGGCCCTTAGCCCTGCAACTCAATTGCTAAGCCACTGCGCCACGAAACCTTTTGGTTCTGACCTCTCGCTCACGAAGTTTCTTGGTTTTATTTCAGGATTTCATAAAATTTATTAAAGTTGTCCATATCAAATCACAGAATTAGAAGTGCGGAGAATTATTTGTTATAATCACTCTGTTGAATCATATATTTAAAAAAAAACTTACAAGGAAAAGATTCATTCTATTTTTAAATATGTAACATGTATCACAAGGAAAATTTATGTTTAATTAATGACATTTCGCTCATATTTATTCTACTCTTCGACATGGCTGGTAAATTATTTCCAAGTTTACTAATCTTCATTTTAAAATTACAATCATGCTGGTTTGGTAAGTAATAATATTAAAATTTTCTTATTATTTGTAATCAAGCTTTATTTTAATTTTAAGCCAGTAATATTCATGTTATTTGCGGTAATTGTAAAAACATAATACCTATTTAAGAAGTATGATTTACGAGTACTGCACGATGTTGTAATTATAGTTCAATAAATTTAGCTCATTTTTTTACTATCACTTAAAACATAACTGAACACTCGAATGAATGGTACGAAAACTGTTTTAAGTATAAAAGATGATATACTAAGCATATGTCATATATGTAAGTAAGTCAAAAAAAGTCTGGGGCCATTGAGTCCCTTATAATATTAAGGACTGAATCTAATTATCAGGCTAACTGTACGGATCATTCTATAGTATTTATTCAGCTATTTTTTGTATAAAAAATATAACCTACATAGGCTTAGCCAACAATTAGGTTCAACCGATTGCGGGAAGTTAAACTAAGGTTCATTCAACTTATTCATGATACAACGAGTAATGCCAGTAGAAATAATAAACCCAGGTTTGTTTGAACTTACTTAGAATTGCACATAGGTAAATCTTCTTAAGGTATAACGGTAGCAAACAAACGTGGTCCTTGAACACAACAAAGTTTAACTCCACCATCTCCGAAACTCCGAAAGTTTAAACAAAAACCAACACGCAATTGTTTATTATAATAGCTAATTTTGGGTGAACTTTTTTGTTAGAATTGAAACCATAATTGTTTATGTCATGTGTTTAATAAATTAAAGTTCATATAAAACAGTGTTAATCGAAACTTGTTTCCAGTTGATAACAGTGTTAAATAACCGTATTAAGGAAGTAGTCAAAAGCCCATTGGCATCTTCTAAAAATCATAAAATATCTCTTCAATAATAGTTAAACACACATCAATGACCTTTTTTAAGGTTCACTTTTCAACATGTCCTTTTTTTGGATTATGGATAATTTTATTGCCATTTTCAATTTTCGGAATAGCTACCATCAATATTCTGGGTACAGCTGACTAGAACTTGAAAAAAGTTGACGTAATTTCCCTTATCTCACCAATGCTGCATGTAGTTTATTTTATAATTATTTATTTCCTTTTTGGTAAGTTTTAATTATTTAACTGTTATCTTAGTTGTTGTAGCTCATTTCCATGTTTTCCATTTTACAGATAATACTTTTACAGAAATTCCTTTAGAAAATGAATCCTTGAATGTTGTGAGTATTTTTAACTAAAATTAAATTTTTATCATATATTACGTTTATACATTCATGAAAATGTTCATAAAATATATAATATTTTTGGGCAGGTTACAAATACTGGCGGGAATATGTGTACAACTAAAATGGGCAAGTTAATTTTTAGTTCCCTATTTGATTATTAACTGATAAACTATTTTTATCTATATTATAATTATCTGAACGATTTGAATTGATTTGATTTGAATGTTCATATCTTATATTATATTAATATCACATTGCATGTTTATGTTTTTACAGACACGTGCTCATTAAAAGTCGTAAGTAATACATACATAATATAAATAACAAAATTTGTTATTTTGACGCTGTTAATAATATTTTCATCCTATGCAGGCGACAAAATATATACGAGGTTTGCCCGGTCCTCCCGGGGAAAAAGGAGAAAGAGGCGTAGACGTAAGTCAACTTATGTATATTGACTGTATCATAAGAAACCTGATAACAGATAATTGGAGTGCGCGGCACTTCCCTCCTTGAATACGATTTCAAAAACGAGAAATTTCTGCTCAGTAATGGAACGTAATGTTGCAAATTTATATATATATATATATATATATATATATATATATATATATATTTATATATATATATATATGCAATGAAGTATTGTGGTAACGGTGTAAAAGAATTCGTAATGGAGTAACCATTACAACCCGCGGGTGTTGAAAGAGGCGACTATGTGAAATGCCAGAAAAATCTTATAGCTTCCGCTAAATGCCAGTATAACGACTAATTATTTCGCCTATACAGACCGGCGACGAATAGCAGCGTTGAAAGTACAGGACGTCTAGTACTGTGATCGTCAATCAGTGCGCTAAATGTGACGATTAAGGTAAAATCTCTCTACTACGATAGATGGTCATATATAACCGTGGTCTTTAACGGTGTGAATAATAAAAAAGAACGAAAGCTATTAATCATATTTCCTATATGCAAACATTTCATTGCAGCTTGTCAGAAGCCAAGAGTTGTTATCGGGAAGATGCTGTTGCTAATCTATATAATATATTTATTTATGAGAAACCCATATCCAACCGTCAAAGACTACGACGGATATGGGCCTTTTCTGTTGTAGGGAGGAGTTACCTAAGTCGACACGCTTGGCCGGCTGATTGACGATATATATGTCGCGGCCACCTAGCTTAATTAGCCTTGTAGTTAACGGCTTAGCCTTAAAGATGACAATGCAACGTAATGTTGCTAGTCTGTACCTAATTATGCGCTATGTGTTATATAATATAAATGTACGCGGCTTTATGGTGGCCCAATGGTCACCGCAGTTGCTCCATAACCTACTGTCGCTGATTTACAAGATAGGTGATATGTTGTATTAGACGCATCGACTGAATATTTTTCAGCTAGTTGAACGGTGCCGTTTAGTAAAAAGGCTAGGTTGTTAACTAAAAGGCTAATTTTGCTAGTTGGCTACAACATATTAATATATATTTACATATATATATATATATATATATATATATATATATATATATATATATATATATATATATATATATATAAATATACTGGCGCAATTTATGTGCCTGTCAGTTTATTTACCAAAAGTAATAAAACTTTAATTTCATGCTTCACAAGCAGCGTTGGTATTAAACTCATTTTCTGCCAACGTCACTCTAATTAAAAATTTTGAATGTGAAGTTGAATAATGTGAAATCCAGATAAAATAGCGTTAATCCGTTATGTAATATGTTCACTGGACATATTGACCCATCACATTATTTAACACAATTAGGCATAAGTTTGCGTGCAATAGTGAGAGATGGCATTTGCTCATTATTGGTTATTTATTGGCTATTACTTAGAATTTTTTTTCTAATTAATTCAGGGTCAAAAAGGTGATAAAGGATTACGTGGTCCACCTGGAACGATTGGAAAACAGGGTATATGTGAATTGAGTGACACAGTTAGTGGTAAGATTATAAAGACATTAAAACGTCAACAACTTTAAGAATTTTGTTATTTAAATTTACTTATTTTATATCTTAACAGATGCAGACAGTCCCGAAGGTTCTATGTTAGGTGACAAGTTAGAACCCTTAAATGGCCTTTGTAAGGATTATCCAGACCTTATAAAAGTTCTTACAAATGGTAAGATAACTTGAACAGATCATTTTTCTATTATGTTATTAATACTTTAGTTTTTAACATACTAATTTATCTAAAATTATATTATATACTTCATATATAATAATATATTAAAATAACTGTTGTTTTTTTGTTTGTTAGTTTTCTATGCGTTCCTATACCATTCATTTGAATATATTAGAACTTTGCTAAGCTATTTTGTGCAGACCAACCAAGACTACTGACTTACTTCTTAATATCCAGTGCAGTGACGCTGTAAGAATATCCACTATCCTATATCGTTCCGCGGTGTCGTAAGAGGCGATAGAGGGAAACCGAAACAGTAGATGGACAGCGGCATATTCCTAATAACAATGCAAAATAATAACAGACTGTGGTTGCTAACCCAATTGCCGAGGACAGTAACTATGGCAAAATTCCTCCTATGAGACAATTGAATGTGGTTTTTTTGGGTGTTTTGCATCTTCTGCCTCGTATAGAGGCATCTTCTGCCTCGTGTAGAGGCATCTTCTGCCTCGTGTAGAGGCGAAACACGTGTCGTATTATCGTCGATGGTGTGTCTTACCTTGAATAGTGGTGTTGGGAGTAGTGGTGCTGGGACTAGTGGTGATGGAGTTAGTGTATGCAATTGAGGGAGGGCGAGAGGTGCTCTTCAATCCAAGTAAGACACATCATTGTATTTATTTAGCGGAAGGTTGCAAAGAAATTTATATTTTTATTTTCTAATGTGTGTAACAGGGCGCTTTTGAAAATAATCCGAAAGCTTGCCTCATTTCCCTACATTTTCCATAGGTCATTGTGATATCTAGTAATTCCCTGATTGATATTATATAAGTATGAATTCATACCACAGCTAAGCACCAGTCAATTTTTTTTCCAAAAAAAAAATTACTTCTTCCTATAATTTTAGTAGTGCCGATGAGAATTTAAATTAGTGCACTCGTTTTCTGTGAAACTTTAAGAACAACGTTTATGAGCTTGATGCCCTGGACGTCCACGTATCTTTGCCTTACGCAAGTTATGTTATGTATTTACGACAAGCGTATGAACTTTTTATATGTGGGTGCCGTGTAGATGATGGAGAGATTAGGTCGAATTCCTACTTGTTGAGTTCCCATGCCGACTTATTGATTGTACTATTCGTATAAAAAATCCTGTAATTTTCTATGGAGACGCAGCCAAATCTCTTTGAAGACTTAGAGCGTCTCGGGACTAGTACTCGCTCGCTGGTAGTAATGATAATGGCCAAAGACGACTAACTAAGTACCACCTATCATATTCCTAGGTCGTTAATCATAACCTATTCGTAGTCAATGTAAATGAAATACGATATAGAATATAGTGTTACAGATTTATGAACAAACATTGCAAAATAATTATTTCATTTCAGATTGGCTTCGTACTTATTAAATTTAAAAAAAATGTCGGAAAATTTTATATAACTTAGTAAATGCTCAATAGACACAGACAATAATTTGACGTGTAAACGTCAAATTAAGTAAGGCTAATAAAGTAAAAGAAAATTATTGGGTATTAAAATAAGAAATCATTGCAAAACGTACATATACGTGGTCTACCACGTATATTTATGTACGTTTTGGCTCTTTTGCTCGTTTGGTATGATTAAAGCGCGAATGGGTCGGCTCGACCGGGGAAGGACAATACTCTCACAGAATACCAGCGTAAAATTGTACCTTAATACTGCTGTGTTTCATGTGGTGAGTATAGAGATCGGAACACCCTTTTTTACTGGAAACGAGGCATTCCATGTTAGTCCTAGTGGTGATAACGCAACTCCGTTTTGATTCTTAACCGAGGATAAATGTAGATGTCTATGAACTACAGTATCCACTTACCATCAGATAGACTGTGTGCTCGTTTGTCACCCTTATTCTATAAAGAACTGTTTGCATATGATATACTTTGTTCATCCAAGAACCGAGAGTGCGAAAACTCACTTTCTGTGTTCTTAATGATAATTCTACTTTTGACTGAAAACAATTTAGAATAGACACCATCGTAAAAGGTGTAAGAAGTTTGGCACTTCGATCGGAAATCCTCCCTATAACGGGATAGGCTCATGTACAGCTGTGGAGTTTTCGAGCCTATAACAATATATTTTAGGACCGTGGTAGTTCAAAAGCCTTAATTTAACAGTACGTGATCTATTTGGGTTCAATCCCCCTCGGCACCATGAAATTTTTAGTTCCAATTTTAAGTGTTGATTTACAGCGTGCTCGGCGATAAAGAATCCGCGAACAGCATTGAAGAAGTTGGTATTTATCCATAACCATTTAAAAAAGTAGAACGGACTGTGGCTAGCAGTAAGACATATATGGGTTGTAACTATTTTTTTCCATTTTTAAGTTTTAGGAACAATTTTTTAACAATAGCAGACAATTCAATTTTACATTCTGCATCGTATAGTAGGTTTTTTTTGATGAATCTAGTATTCGAGGTATTTGAATAATATGTCGTATGTATTAGTCCTTTTGATGACCAAATGACGAGCTATTCGACAGATAGTTTCATTCCATGGGCGATGATTTTCAATAAATCATTTTACTTTTATCAACGTTTGTATTATGATATTTCTTGATTTTGCATTTGTTTCAAAAATTAAGCGTTTTTCTATTAGACATTTAAGATAGAAATTAGTGATGATATTTAATTTGATGAAAAGTTTATGATAAATAAATTAATAAATCTACCTAAAATAAAAATAAAAAATTGTTTAATCCGGGAACGATCACTTTCGTCACCTATTATTAGGGATCGGAAAATATTTTATGTTCTAATCATAGTTTTAAAAGAGTATAATGTGCAATATTCACTTCTCATTAAAATAAAAAAGAGTAAAAACACAAAAGTAAGTTTTTAATCAATGTATCTATACGTGCAACAAATAAATTTCATGGATGTTATAACGATGTTATTAGTAACGGTTACTCACACTAAAAGTATCAAATAAATCTTAGTAGTATTAAAACGTTTTTTTTTATTTAAGTTATATTACAAAATAATAGGAACTTCAAACAAACTACACATACAATAACTAGGACTGTTTTTGTTTCACCCTCCAAAAATAAGCGTTTATTCGTTGGATAACTAAGAGTATATTCAAGTTTCGAAAGTTTTATCATAAAATTGATAAATTGACACTTAATGAATACAAGTTAATTAACATAAGCTCCCTTTTGCTTGCTACAGGTACGAAATGGATTAAAAAATCCTCGCCGTTTGAAGTAACCTGCAAAGAAACAGGTTTAACATGTCTTGCAAGTGTAAAGAATACAAAACAATATGATTATACAAAAAAATTGGAGCCATTCTGGTTAAGCGAATTAGGCTTTGATTTCAACGATTTTTATGGGGTATGTATCGTAATGGTAAACCGACTGAATATTTCATATTAATTAATCCAACGTTCTTTTTAATCAAAAATCGTTATTATAAGCCAAATGATGTGATGTAAAAAATGGCAAAAATCAGCTTAATGTTGGTATGGTTTGTATGGTGAGTGTAGAAAAACGAAGACCATTTTTACTGCTATCGAGTTCGATAGCAGTAAAAATGGTCTCCGAGTATCGATCTAAATTTTGATTCTTAAAGCCCGGCTACACGCTCAATCTTACTTGCACAAACTCTAATATACACAAGAAAGCGTGTACGTTAATCCAGTAAAACGGTATACGAAACAAGCAAAATAGTTTGTATCAATGCTTAATTTGCTCAGACTAAACTTGCACAAACAAGCATGTTAAGACGGCGTGTGGACACGAAACATGTCCTTTGCGAAAACTTTGTACTAACTGTTTGCGCATGCAAGACATTATCGTGTATACGTTGTGCAATGTACCACGTTGTTCTCGCAAATTTATTTGCATCAATTGTTTGTTAGCCGGAGCTTTTATTAAGGTTATCAATAACTACTAACTATTATGTAGATAATACGCCAAGCTTATTCTCCGAAAAGCGCACTGTATTAGATTAAAAAATGGTATCTGACAAACGAAATTATTAATTTTTTTTAAATTAAGAAATAAAGATATAACATATCACAAAATTAGTAGAAGTTACAAAATTTATGTAAGTAATATTCAAAAGTTCTCTCTTAATATCCTGGGGTGACAAAACATCTACATTTTGATTCTTAATCGACCGAGTATAGATGAGTATCGAAGGGACAAAGCATTGGACTAAGTTTGTTTATCACCTACTTATTCTATAAATTAAAAATTAAATAAATATTTTTTTATTAGGAAGAAATACTTCTATGATAAAAGCCCTAATTAATTTACATTTTTTTGTAATTTGTATGATATGTTAATGAATCCCTCATTTAAAGTAGACATTTTGTTTGTCTGTAAAAGCTTATCAACTGTGTTTACGTCATTGTACTAAAAGTTTCCTCGACAAATTTTAGCTTATAAAAATCTTTTTCTGGTTTTTCTGGTTTTAAGCGAAAATTGTAACCGGTAAGAAAAAAACATCTAGACTTAATTTTCAACATATTTTTGTATGTTTTGGAATTAAAATTTCATATTCTTCTTTAACAAACATTTTTAATAAAATTTTTGACAGCATATCATACTATAATATATAAGCAGGACAGCTAATTTGTAGAGCGATGAGCAGCTGACGACTCCGCATTGTTATGTGTCGTTAGAGCCTAGTTCGCCAGTCAACAAGGATTATATGCATGTGTATAGGAACTCTATTTTACTTTCTCCATACAGCGTGTATTATTATTTTAATTTAATTGAAATAAATTATATCATCATTTATTAACGTTTCGTGACAATACAAGGGCATAACCCCGTTTCGTGGTGTCCAAAATTACCGGCACAATGATCGAATCTTGTCATGGCACCGGCATATGGCTGATATAAAATACCTGCGACGGGCAGCAGTAAAAAGGTGTGAGGCGTGTGGTTGCACTGCTGATATCGACATATTAACGGTGTGACACGAATATTTCAAAAAGTAGTGAATATAATTGATCGCGTAACATGATTCTATAATTATTATTATACCTTAATGTAGCACCCGGCCCGGCTATGCCCTAGTGGGATCTATTAAAATGTGTTTTCCTTTAGGTTTAATAAGTAGATTCTCATAAATAACAAATTATTCGTCTGTATAACATGTCATGCTCAAAACGGAAAAAATTTTTGATAGGAATTTTGGTAGCTTTTTTATTAGACAACACAAAGATATTTATTTTGGCAGTAACTTAATTGGGCTACCTTATTTAGAAACAAAATACAACTCAACGCTTATATCTATTCCTGCACCATTCAATGTCTTCATTCATAGTCTGAGTTCAAAGCTGAATGATTGTACAGAACTGCTGAGCTAATCGTTGATATGAACGTGAAAAGTTTTAGAAGTATAAGTTAGGTACGTACATTAATATTTTTTAGTTTAAGTTATGGAACGACCCATCCGTTGTCAAGTTCATGATTTTTCATACATTGGGAATTTGCCCGTATCGACAAGCAACAGTCGACGTTATTTAGGACATCTGTCATCTCCAGTAAATGGTTCGATCAAAAAGATTTTATTCTAACACCTAGTTGAACACCTACACAAAAATTAGGTTTGAAGGCCATAGCATACATAGTGCAGACCTAGTATTTTCTTACAATTTTGTACAGGATTGGATCTTTTATTTATTAGGTAACTCATCTAGTGCTCTCAATTTAGTTTCGTCTAATTTTATGCATTTAATATACAGCAGTTGACACACCACACCACATTTCTGTCATTCAATGTATATATAATAATACACATGTAGCATAGAAATGGACCAAATACGCGAGCCTGGTATATGAGGATTAGAGTTTTAGGAACTTTGAATTAAAAAATTATATTTAGTAAGTATATCGTATGTGTCTTATGGAGTTAAATTGGTCTGTAGGTTAAATAAATATCACGTGCTGTAATATTCAGTATAAGTCAATGCTTTCTGTAATTTTTCGTGTAAATATCGGGACGCATCCATCGTTTATTTCATTCTAAGGCATTTGCAAATAAACGTTATTTTCTGATCTAACTTGGTTGTTGAGAATTTTGGCCTATCGATGTTTCAATGTTTTCATAATGGTTGATTAAATATTTGTTCGTTCACATTCTTTAACTGATTAAAATTTATATGTCTTGACATTTTACGGTGACAAAAGTAGGTAGTTCATGTATCAAACCGTTTATCTTAGCGATGCTCCACTGAATCTAATTGAGAAACATTGATGGCAATAGTATACCTATTTTCTGTCTTATATCGCTTTACAAGATACTTTTAAATGATCTTAACACTTATATAATATTGTAATTAAGATGATATAAAATTAGATGGATGAATTTTATTCTAGCATAATTTCATAAAATACCATATTGATAATAGCATGGTTTAACTTCTTTTGAACCGAGTATTTCAATAATAAGTAGATAAGATAATATGATTTTTTTTAAAGAATATTAACAATGCTATAAACATTACTAATAATAAATTCCCCTTAACCACTCGTGGTAAGCCTAAATTGCTTGTGTTACGAGTGGTTCACGCCAGTAGTCGAATGGCGGATTCGAACCCATGACCTTTTTGAGTTCGCGGTCCGCGTCCTGCCATTAGGCTACTGTCGCTTCGCTTAAATTTTACATAACGATATATATGTAACGACATATAGAAAACAAACGACAACCGTGCAATACAATGTCTTTATCGAATCGTTGTCCAAATCACGAGTCATGCTTCACTCTTAGCTTTGTGTTGTCGTCTGCAAGGGACTACTATTATTTATCCCTGCAGGTTTCGGGCCTCGGGGTGTTCCCCATTACCCGGGCAATTATCACAGCCCATTTCTATGGGCCGGTCCTGGGAGCCGTTGAAGAACGGCATTGTAGGTTATCTTCTTTGGCGTATTGCGTGCCACTAGGTAGGTGCTTCCGAAGAGTCAGCAGTCTCAAAGCCCCGTGGAGTCCTGCGGACGATGGGAGTTGACGCAGGGCCAATCCTGCCGACAGGTGTGTGCTCCTGATAGCAGCACTCCGTGCCTCAGGTACTCCTTCCTAGCTCTAGGTTATGGCCTGTCCTAGGCATAGTGGGTATGGCTTGGGAAGGATCTGCCGAAGGGTCAGCGACTTCCAGATCCCGCGGAGACGGATCTCGACGCGGAGCCGATGTCACCAACAGGCGCGCGCTCTTCTAGCAGCACTCCGGGCCTCTGGAGTTCGCTTCCAGCATAACAGATGACACGCATTGTAGGGTATGTGTCATCCTGGGAGGGATCAGGGGCGTCCTCGAGGCTCGACGCAAGCCGAGTTGACCCCACAGCACGTACACCCACTGCAAAGCAACGCGCTGTACTTCTCCCACCCGGGCGGAAGCCGACGACCGACGAACGTGACCGGCTGCGAGCGCGGTCCGGACGCGACTTTCCCTCTTAGAACGGCCAATACTTACCAGCAAGCACCATGCATTACTATGTTGAAGATACGTTCCGTACAAATATAAATAAAAATAGTTCAGTACTAAAGAACGGCTTGCGACGCGACGCGTCATTTCACAGAGTACTTTCTAATATACTGAAACGTCATTTACAGGCACTCACTGCTCGCCGCGCTGTGAGGCGTTTGTTATTTGTAATTTCTTACGGGTAGCTTTTGAATTTGTGATAATTCTTTTAAAGTATCGGATAATATTTTCATTACATGATGTTAAAGAAAATTTTGGTATAAATTCATAAATATAAAATTGGATAAGGATTAACACCAAATAAAGCAAAGTAGCTTCACAAAGAACATTATGTCGACATCATTATGAAAACAATGTCGACAAATGAATTTTTGTTTATTTTTATTTTCTCCAATTGTGACCTATTTTACATTTGATGGTTAAGGCAGCGTATGTCATGCCCCGAAAGCGGCTTTTCACAACTTACAAAACATCGCGATTTATCTACTAATTATATCTACATACATTATCCTTCCGGAATAAATTCTCTTAATGTTTGTTACCAGTGGGTAATCCATAGGGTACATTAAAATAATTAAGCGTGCAAACAGACACTTAATTAAAATTTAGAGACGACTTTCTTCGTCCATTATTTTTAAATTAATATCAAAATCCAAAAAAGGAATTCATAAACAAAGTTTGTGTTGACTACCGCTTCAGCATACTTGATAAAATCTTCGTTAATTGGGTGTTTTAGAATTATAGGACATAGTAAATAAGGGAAAAGAGACTAGACTAGAAACTGAAAAGTCGTTGTTTTATTGAAACTTTTATAAATTGTAAGCTAATCTAGAGATGTTAATATTTTTCAGGTAACAACACACCAGATTAACTACTTACAAGCTCGTGCATCATCTGTTTCGCTGACTATAAGATATCATTGTAAAAATTCAGTAGTATTGCCGGAAAATACAGACAAATCATTACGAATTTTGTTATGGAATGATGTAATAATAAGCCCGTATCCTGGAAAAAAGACCCCCCTTTATTATAATATACTAAATGACAACTGTAAGGTAAGAATATTAATAAATCATATATTATTTATTATGTTTATCACCGGCTTAACCATCTGAACTAGTTTTATAAATGATGGAATGAATTTTGTAACTATTAAAAAGTAACAAACGCTTCTGAGATATAATTTGTGCCAGCCACATAAAATCTTAGACAATAACGTAACGACCATATTTACCAGACATAAAAGATTTTTGACCATTACGTGGTATATAGGTGTGTAATATATTCTCGGTTTGGGTATGGTAGAAAAAATATAAAATTATGAAATATTTTCTATTTTCCATGACATTAATACATTTACTAGTTCGTAAAAAAAACTTTTCTTGGTCAACTTTCCTCTTTTTTTCTCTCAAGCGGCGAAACGTGGCTGAATATTTTTCTGCTTTAACGGTTTAACATTTTTTTGTGTATTCGATGAATAAATAGTTTTCTTTGGAATCGCAAAACACTGTTTCCTAAATATACCATTGCATATACTCCTGTTCATATCCTGTCCTTTACACTCAGGTTCAGATCAGGCAGGAGATGTTCTATATATTCTGTTTATGATTCGGAATTATGATAGTGTGATTTAGGCTTCGGTATGTTTCGCTTGCGGCGCGATACAGCGCCGCCACATCACCCCCCTTGTTCCGACCGGAGGTCGATAGTGCAGCCTCGTTGCCGACGAATGTGCAAGTGCCAGGAGATTGCCTTGTAGTTTGGGGTGAGTTGAGAAGAAGGCAAGTAATCTGCGAGAGTGTAGTGAAGCAGAGGCGAGCAGCAGTAAGGCTCAGAGCCGTGCCGAACACTGAACCACAACGAAGGAACAGGAAGCATTATTATTCCAGTGCTGCAATGAACCTTGTGAAGCTAGATGGCTTGCAGGATATGAAGACGGCAGACGATATCTGCTCGGGAGCGAATAGGTGGGGTATTTTTATGACGATGATGAAGCTTGAAGTCCGAAGGTAGTTGGTTGCGTGTTCAGATCACGTCGGGTGGTCACCATTGTGGCCGAAGAAGGAAAAGGGGAGATCTCCCGCCGGGCAAGGTGTTTTTCCCGGGTAGCGGCCAACACTCCGAGTGATAGTTCGGAGATATTCTATATATTCTGTTTATGATTCGGAATTATGATAGTGTGATTTAGGCTTCGGTGTGTTTCGCTTGCGGCGCGACGACAGCGCCGCCGCAATAGTGATGAATACACGTTACATTTCCTGTAATTATCCTATCAAAAACACTTGTTAAATTGGCACCACACAGCTCTAAATACTCCCTACAATAATCAAACCCACGCCTGCTTCTGAAGCACAGTAAGCATTCGCGGTACCCATATAGCACTAACGTTTGTGAGGTTGAGAGTATTGTGATTTTGAGGTTTATTGTGAGGTTGAGGTTGAGAGTGAAAGAGGTATGTAAGGATCGTGACACTTGGCGATCTGTTCTCTCTGGCTACCCCGTTAGGGATTGTGCGTGAAGATAAGTAAGTAAGTAAGTAAGTAAGTAAGTGAGGTTGAGATAGTCACGCAATATGGTGTGTATGATACCATCAGATAGGATAGTCATTTCTGCTAACATCTTAATTCTTACTCGTGCATCTTCTAGTACAAGTTTTAGTTACTTAACTTACATTTTCTTCTGTAGCTGTTGTGACATCCGAGCGGAGGTCACTTTAGATGCTTTCCCTGCCTCTTTTGCATTCATTTGATCACTTTTGTACAGTTATTAACATCGAAGGAGCAAAGACTTGGTAAACGTCCACCATTTATTCGTGGATTTTTTTTATGTTTTCCTTGTTGGTGAGGAATTAATCACCGTACGGTGTTCGATTTTTTCATCATTGTCGAGTCAGTCATTCCCGTCTTCTATGACTGATGGTTATATAAGAAGCGATGAAGTTATAAAGATGAAATTTCATATTAATATCATCATGTAGAATCGTTAGGTAATGTTTTTTAATTACCCACATTATTATCATATCACCTTAATACCGAGAATATATTGAACGGCCCTAGTAACTATTTAAGGACGATTTTTTCTTAGAAATATATACATAATTCAGCTGATGGTTAGAGGATTCAGTTGCCAATAGATGCCGTCAATCCTTGATTTAATAATTAAAATGAAAATGCGTTGCAATTCCTAAGAAATAATGTGGAATGTCTAGTTTCCAAAAAGTGGTCTAAAGTTCTCGTCACCTACCATATAAAACACGGTAACTATAAGCCATACTATTTAACACTGGAAATCTATATATATGTGATGCAGACTCTACAATTTAAGAAATTTGGTTACTAAGTTAATTATTTACATTAAGTATACCTAAACAAGTAAGGCTTACATACGAGTTTATAAATGATGGCTTTAAAATTAAGATTATGTTATTAATATTTTTGTGCAATTAAAAATAAGGTAAACGATTTCAATATATAAAATATAATAGCAGTATAAGAGATCTGTCGCCAAATTGCGTTGCGTATAGGTCGTCAAAGTCGACTTGGTAAATACCAGGGTCTTAATGGCATAATACAGAAATGGATATTTTTTTATATTAGAGGGGGCAAACGAGCATACGGCTCACCTGATGTTAAGTGACTACCGCCGCCCATGATCAACCGCAACACCAGGGGAATTGCAGGTGCGTTGCTGGCCCTTTAGAAAGGGGTAAGCTCTTTTCTTGAAGGTCCCCAGGTCGTATATATTGGTTGGTCTCCCCTGCCGAGGGCTTCCATCTGGTCGGGCTTTTATTTATTTATGTATTTTTATGTATTTATTTTATTTTATTATTATTTATGTATATTTGTCATTTTTGTTCGCAATTATGTATTTATGGAACCCAACCAGATGAGAATACTATATAGATACCCCGAGATGATAATATTATAACAAATTAATACTTATAAAAGAACATCTATATTTTTATTTTAATAATAATTAATATCGTGTGATTCGACAGGAACTTGGAGATTATAAATCGAAATGGCTTTACACTGACATATCGATAGTCAGTCAGGTAGTTCATCGTTTACCAGCAATTGATTTTCACATACAAGACGTCCGAGACGAAAATCAGTATCTATCTTTAGAAGTGAAAGAGCTATGTTTTGGCTAAAATTATTTGAATTAATATCTTCAACATTAAAACATTAAAATAAATTATAACTACGAGTATCAATGCCAATTTTTTTATAAATTATGCCGGTAGTGCATATGAAATTAAGAGCATATTAAATTATTATTATGTGTTAATATACTCTTATATTCTTAATTCAGTAATTGTAAATACCATTTTATATTAAAGAAAAATCAATAAAATAAAATAGTTTAACGTGGACTTATATTATTTCCTCGCCTGTAGTTAAAGAAAGACGCAAATAATATTTTACGGATTAAAAAACACACGTATTTAACTATACATTTTTTAGTTTATTGCACATTTTAGGGATGGGACGAAACATTTAAGAGATTATGAATTTGAGAAAAAAATAGAGAATCTATGGTTGAGCCTGTAAATATTCGAAGGTAGCCTATGATTCGGACAATCATGTTACTTCACCAAGCGTGTTACTTCACCGCAAAAACTAGCTAGCACACCCTGACCCATTTTCCGAGATGTTTCAGTTGTTAAGTTTTCTCTAAACCTCACTTTCCGTTAAGAGGTTCATTGAATCTAGTACCACAGCAGTAGCAACAAGTAAAGTATACGTGGTTAGAGTAGTACGGCAGTACTACCACTTTTATCTTCTAACCCTATTTAGGCTCAAAACCGGTCTTGCATGGAAAACTGCTGTCACATATGGGCTAGTTTTGCGAAATGCCTCCTAATAGTGATGGACTCAGTAAAGAGGCGAGTGAAGTATTTAGCGATGCTTAATGGCGACCTTGATTTTGATAACACTAATCTTGTCAGGTTCTAGCACAACTTCGATGCATTTTGTTGCTTTCTTTTCTTTGCTTGCGTTTTTTGTTTGTTTCGTGTGTCTTTTTGGGGTAATTTTGGATTCTGACTTTTAATCTGGGTGAATTCAAGAAAAAAATTATAAGGGTTTTGTTACGATAACAAAATACTATTCACAAAAGAAGTAAAAAGTAAGACTTGCAAAAAAAAAAGAAGTGACACTGGGTTTTCTAGGCGGTAGAGCCTCTTTTCTGCTTTGAAGTCCGTCTGTACGTAGACCCTCTTACCCATTTCTGCCGCCAAGCAGCAACGCGCATACTGCTGTACGCGCGTTATGGATAAAGAGATCCATTATAATTACAGGCTGTGCAGAATCCCATGTTAGTTGTTAGAGGTGACAACGCATATGGAGCCCACTTCGCTTGAAATAGGTTGCAGTTTTCCATGGACTGCGTTAGCCACTCACAATCAGGTGGACTTTAAGTTCGTTTATCAATATAGTATTATAAAAAACGCATTAATCTATTTTTTTACCTCTCAACTATAACTATTGCTACACGCCCTATTGTGTTAAGAAATGAAGACAGAATAAAAAATTTTGTTTACAACAGACACTGGCTTTAATTTGAATTTCGGTTTTAATTGCTACTAAAACTCGATATGTATATTTTCTTAGATATTTTTGAAACATCCTTATTTGTCAAGAATGAAATTGGATATTAGATTATCCAAAGGAAACTTTGCTATCACTCCTCTTATCTTTAATTTCTTCATCAACATTGATAATTCAATCATATTACAAGGCATTGCGAAAAAATATAGCACTGGTCTTGTCACCATAATTTCGGTATGGACAGTGTATGCCGTAAAAGGCGACAGAGGGAAACAGACAGGAGATGGGCAGCAGCATCTTCCTGATAACAGTAACTGTACGACAAAAATATACTGCGGTTGCCTACCCGCTCGCCAAGCGTGGCAACTATGGCAATGTACCCCCCCATGAACAATTACACAAATAGACTATTCCTGGCTAACGCTGGCTGGTACCTACGACGACTCGACCTGGCAACATTTAACGCACGCACCCTGAGGACTGACGAGAAGATCCTGGAGCTGGAAGAAGAGATAGACAAGTTGCGCTGGAATATTATAGGATTATCCGAGGTCCGAAGAGAGGGGGAGGACACGGTGATTCTCGAATCCGGCAACTTGTTCTATCACCGGGAGGGCGACCATCCATCCCAAGGAGGTGTCGGATTTATCGTCCACAAGTCTCTCGTCAACAACGTTGTAAAGATTGGGAGTGTGTCGACGAGGGTCGCGTACCTGATACTCAGAATCACCAAACGGTATTCGTTGAAGTCATACAGGTTTACGCACCAACCTCGGCAAATCCCGATGAGGAGGTGGAGGAAATGTATGAGGATATTTTCAAAGCCATGCATTCCTCCAAAACCCACTACACGGTATTGATGGGAGACTTCAACGCAAAACTAGGCACAAGTGAAAACGGTGAGCTGAAGTTAGGGAAATTTGGAGTAGGGCAACGGAACCGAAGGCCAGCAGCTGGCCGACTTTATGGAGAAAGAGGGACTCTTTATGATGAACTCTTTCTTCCAGAAGCGGCTCCACAGGATCTGGTCGAGCCCCGACGGTTCGACAAAAAATGAGATTGACTTCATTATGACGACCAGGCGCCAACTGTTCAGTGATGTCTCAGTGATCGCGAGGGTGAAAACTGGCAGCGATCACAGAATGGTTAGAGGCACACTGAACCTAAACGTTAAGTTGGAGAGGTCTCGTCTAATGAAGTCAAGGCCCCGTCCCTCTCGTGCTCTAATCCAGAATCCCGAAAACTTTCAGCTCGAGTTACGTAAACGCTTTCAGAGCCTACAAGATTACAATGCAGTGGACGATACGAATGACAAGCTCGTGGAAACTGTCCATGCAGTCGGAGCTAAGTTCTGCAAGACCCGCCGCAGAAGAACACAAAAACTCCCCCGATCACACTCTTAATCTCATGGCTGTTAGACGGGAGATGAGGCTGCAATCGTCAACAGATTTGACAGCATACAGGCAACTGAACAGACAGATCTCCAAATGCATGCGGCGAGACTTACGCAACTTTAATACTGCTCGTATTAAAGAAGCGATCGAGCGGAACCAGGGCTCCAAAGTCTTTGCCAGAGATCTGTCTGCCAGTAAGAGCCAACTGTCAAAGCTGAAGACTGAGTGTGGCAGCATCGTTTCCGGGACACCTGAGATTTTGAGTGAGATTGAGAGGTTCTATGGGCAGCTGTAGACATCATGGTTGGAGCCACACGCAAGTGTGAGTAACGATCCAAGAGCAAGTCTTATCCGACACTATTCCGATGATATCCCGGAGTCAGTCTAAGCGAGATTAGAATGGCTCTCCAGCACCTTAAAAACGGCAGGGCCCCAGGCGAGGATGGAATTACAGCGGAGCTTCTGAAAGCGGGTGGAATACCGGTACTTGAAGTCCTTCAGAAGCTCCTTAATTCCGTCCTCCATGGTGGCACTACTCCAGGGGCGTGGAGCAGTAGTGCGGTGGTCTTGTTCTTTAAGAAAGGCGACAACGCTCTCTTGTTGAACTACAGACCGATTTCCCTTCTGAGTCGCGTCTACGTGCTGTTTTCGAGAGTCATTACGAATCGTCTCGCACGCGGACTCGACGACTTCCAGCCTCCCGAACAAGCCGGTTTCCGAAAAGGCTTCAGTACCATAGACCACATACATACCCTGCGTCAGATTGTACAGAAGACTGAAGAGTACAATCTGCCACTTTGCCTGGCGTATGTGGACTATGAGAAAGCCTTTGATTCCGTCGAAATTTGGGCGGTGCTACAGTCCCTTCAGCGGTGCCAAGTTGACTGTCGGTATATCGAGGTGCTGAAGTGTTTGTACAGTAGGGCTACGATGGATATCCGAGTACAGAACCAGAGCTCGAAACCTATCCAACTGCAGAGAGATGTAAGACAGGGTGACGTTATATCCCCGAAACTCTTCACCGCTGCATTGGAAGACGTTTTCAAGCTACTGAACTGGAAAGAATACGGTATTAACATCAATGACAAGTACATCAGTCACCTTCGATTTGACGACGAGTCCTTATGGCAGAATCGCTGGAGGACTTAAGCACTATGCTCAATGACAACAATAGTGCCTCCCAATGGATAGGTCTTAAGATGAACATGGACAAAACAAAGATTATGTTTAATGTCCATGTCATACCTATGCCGGTAGTTGTTGGGAGCACTATGCTCGAAGTTGTTGACGAGTACGTTTACCTGGGACAAATAGTCCGACTAGGTAAGTCCAACTTCGACCGAGAGGTCAAACGACGGATTCAACTCGGCTGGGCAGCGTTCGGGAAATTACGACATATCTTCTCGTCAGGTATACCTCAATCTCTAAAAACTAGATTGTACAACCAGTGCGTGTTGCCAGTGATGACTTACGGATCTGAGACGTGGTCCTTCACTGCTGGCCGTATGAGGACGCTCAAGGTCGCTCAGCGAGATACGTAGAGGGCTATGCTCGGAGTTTCTCTGTGTGATAGACTCAGAAATGAGGATATCCGCAGTAAAACCAGAGTGACTGACATAGCCCAACGGATTAGTAAGCTGAAGTGGCAATGGGCCGGCCATATAGGTCGAAGAACCGATAACCGATGGGGAAGAAAGGTTCTCGAGTGGCAGCCTCGTACCGGTAGGCGTAGTGTAGGGCGACTTCCTACTAGATGGAGTGACGACCTGGTATTTAGATATGCAGAAAGTCGATGGATACAGGTGGCTCAGGACCGTGCTTTGTGGCATTACTTGGGGGAGGCCTATGTTCAGCAGTGGACTTGTGAAGGGCTGTAATGATGAATGATGATGATGAGTGTTTGCAATCTGAAGCAAATGGCTTGCCCTAGGTATCGCATAAGTGACAACTGTTGACGTAGACGTGCTATAGAATGGACACCGTACTTACATATGTGTAAACGTAACGTGGGACGCCTCTTGATTAGGTGGAGCGACAGATATGGTTAAGTAGCAGGCTAGGCGCGCCTGGAGAAACCTCTATGTCCAACGATAGACTGCCGTAGAGTGATGATGATAAATGAGTGGGAAAGATCATCCCTGATGTTATTTGTAGTTAATATGAGAACTTGTGTAAATTAAAGTAAAGTATTATACTACTCCTGCCAA